CATCCCCACGTAAGTCTGCGAGGCCAGAGGAATTTTCCCATTTACAAGGGAGGCGGCCGGAGGCTGTGGGAGTCAAGATCACACAGCTGGGCTGGTGGTGTGAGCGGTGGTCTCTCCGGCCCCAGGCCCTGCCTCTCCCAGGCGGACACTGTCTCAGACAGAGAGTTCCCCACCCAAGTCCTCCGAGCTCAGGGTCCTTCCAAACAAGGCTGGCGTCGCTTCCGGAACTTCTGCACAGGAGAACCGCGTTGGACGGGGCTGCGAGCTGGTACTGAACAGGAGCAACCAGAAAAGAAAGATTTCCTGGAAATTTAGTCAGAATTCAAAAAAAAAAAAAATGGAGGCAATTAGATGAATAAAATGAGCAGAGCGGAAGCCCAAAGCAATACTACAGGCACAAAAGCCAAGAAAGCCTCGGAAAGTAGGGCAGCAGGCGAGAGGAGACAGTGCCGAGTGATCACTGATAGGAGGTAGCGCTGCTCCTCAGTTCCTAGGAAGAGTCCTTGGAGGGAAACACAGGAGAAATGCAGGAAACTAATAACAGTACATTTCTCTGAGCTGAAGAAAGACCGGAGTCTCCAAATTCAAGTCACTACCAAGTGTTGAACGGGCAACGCTTAAAAACCTGCATACTTCCTAGGTGACATCTTACGTCCTGAAAGAGTTTCAGAATTCCAAAGGCACACAGAAACCCAGAGTGAAAAGTCCAATGACCCGCAAAAGAACCAACAGGAGACTGACTTCGGCCGAAGTCGCACAGAGAGCCTCGCCCGGCCCGCTGTCAGCCTGGTGCCAGGGCAAAGGGAAGACACATTCAGGCGGGCACACGACTCGGTGGTGAGTCCTCCGTCGATCTATCCTGAGAGAGAGACCCAAGGCTATACCCGCAGCAGAACAAAAACGGACGCCAAGAAAGAGGATGGTGGTAGCCAAGAAACTGAAACACTTGACCCCAAACCCAGGGGTGCGGTGTGAAAAAAATCCCGGGAGGACAAGTGTGCCCTGGACCTCAAAACGAACGGTGCCAACCCCGTGGGCAGTTAGAAGGCTCCGAAAAGAATGCCTCCAGGAGGAAGAGCCCAAGTCCTGGTGGAGACATGGAGAATCCTCCTGAGGACGGGAGGGCACCTCAGCACGGGGCGTTCCAGACAGTCCGGGCCGCCCCTTCACCGGTGGCTTCGAGTCCCTCTCCTTGCCTACATCTGCGAAGAACTGTTATATAATCGTGATATTTAAAACACCGGTTATTGGTTCACACTTGTTTAGACTCCGCCTAACTGTCAAAGCACAGAAACAATTATAGTTGCAGAACAGAGTGTCCATGTGGCAAAGCCTGGCAATGCAGAGGCTCAAGGCCCGGGGGCCAGCGAGTGGGCAGGAAGGGGGAGGGCAGCGCCTAACCTCCCTGTGTATGTCCTGTGAAGTCAGACGCTGGCCAGAGCCGCCGTGTGGAGAAGCGGAAGTTTATGTCTGTTGCGGAGAGCAGTCAGGGGAGTTAGAGAAGAAGTAACAACTTTTTTAGCGTCTGGCAGAGAGTGGGTAGGCTGGGAGAGTCGTTGATGTAAGTAAGCTAACATGTCCTTTCATTCAGCATATACCAGTGATGGCGAACTCATTTTTTTGGTTGATTTTTCTTTGTTAAATGGCATTTAAATATATAAAATCAATATCAAAAGTATAAGTCTTTGTTTTACTATGGTTGCAAAGATCAAAAAATTTCTATATGTGACACGGCACCAGAGTTAAGTTAGGGTTTTTCAAAATGCTGACACGCCGAGCTCCAAAGGTTCGCCATCACTGGCATATACTTATCAAGTACACGCTAGGTGCTGGGCACGGTGCTGTGATCTGGGAGTTGAAGGGTAAGCAGAAACCCAGACCTTGTCCTCAAGGAGTCTAGTGGGAGAGACAGAAGTGATTTATAGAAATAAAAATCCGATGAATAAAGGTAAACTTGCAAACGTGATGAGCGTCAGAAGAGAGGACGCGGTGCAGTGAGCAGCACCTGACCCAGACAGGGAGACCCGGGAAAGAGGGCTGCGGTCCGGCGGAAGGACATAGAAACGCTCAGGAA